ATTGTGACATGTTGACCCCTACCTCCCCAGCGGTGCGTGGCGGTGGCGTAACGCTCGCGTTCTTACGGTAATAGGCGAGTTCCCGCCCCGCCACTCCCCTCCGCGGTGACGTCACCGAGGGATATCGCGGTCGCTAGGCAACGCGAATCAACAGCGGCGACGTTACGATAGTAACAGCGGTGACCTCCGCTAGCGTTACATAGCAACAGAGCGCCAGGCAAAAGGGTGCCTATTACGTGGCCGTTTTCCCGTATTGTCCGATCGAGGCTACATAGGGAGAAGCGAAGGCTATTCACAGTCAGTTGTACTGAGTTGTACTGAGTTGTACTGAGTCAGTCAGCGAGTCCTGGACCTATCGTCGAGTTAGCCAGCAACCAGTCAGTTGTATTGTGGTATTTGGAGTGAACTATTTGTGATACTGCAGATAGCAGTAATCGTCAGATTGTAATCTGGGTGATTGTAAGAGCGAGTGTGAAATAAAATTCGCTACATAAAATACGGAGTGAAGTTATTTGTCGCGATATAAGCCCGATACGCGACAATATAAATATATAAGCAGGAGGATGCTGAAAAACAATATTAATAACACAAGAGAAGAACACATACTACAGATTTTTAAAAAAAAAGTCACCACATAACCTGAATACACCATACATTAAATACTGAAACACTAGAAAATTGAGAAATTCAGTGTAAAGTCTAGGGCATTACTGCTACACCAACCTGCTCAGGGTTACCTTAGGAGCCATATCAAAATGCAAAACAGCATGGAGTGAAGCAAATTCGAATGCCTAATATATGTAACTGCTTCTGGTTCTGACGGTGAATTTCGGAAGTGTTGCCATTCTTTACATGTTGTGAGGCATGCTTGGAGGTAGAGCATGGTATATGTTAAGTCTGTATCACCTTTTCACAGTAATGAGTAGCAGAAGCTCTGCAGATGTACTGCGGTAGTGACACAATATGGGAGGACCTCTCTGCTATTCCCTCTGTCAGGTAGTAGATTTATTATTATTGGAGGGGGTGGGTTTCCCCATGCACCATGACTAATAGTCTATTGTACGTCCCCCTTTGATATTCTACCAGACGCCATACCCTACCAGTACTGGTGCGTGCTATCAGCCCTGTTCAGCCAACGAGGTCAGCCCTCGGTACCCGATGCTTCCCCCATCTAACAGAGGCATTGGAAACTACTTGGGCGGGAAACTTGCCTAATTCTGCTCACAGGTCTCCTAGAGACATGAGGATCTTTTACGTACCATAAATCTAAGACATGGGACCCACGGCTTAAAGTCCCTCCCGGAGGACTTGTTCCCTGAATTTTTTCGCCCTTAAAAATTCCACGACCTCTGCCGGGTTTGAAGCCGCGTACCTCGAGTCATGAGATGGGAACGTTACCCTTAGACTACAGAGGCCACTCCAGATAGTAGATTACCACCATGCTATCACTAGCAGCATGTGCTCCACCTCCTCCACTGCTCTGAATCTAGGAAGACTCTTTCCCCTCATACACCACATTTGGCATAAAAAAGCATTTATTTAAAATTACTCTTTTGTTATCATAATACTAACAGAATCATGCCTGAAATAAACAAAATTTTTGCAAGTCAGCTCTGGATCCAGGTATATTACAATCACATGGTATGTGATCATCCAAATGTCACACAATACTGAAATCTGTGAATGTACTCTTACCCCTGATTCGGAGATTCTCTTCCACTTTTGGATCATCATGGTGAACAAACATGACTTTAGGAGATACATGTTTCCCTTTCCCTGGACTTACTGAATGCCTCTTTTTCTCCTTTTCTGTTTTTTCATCAGCCCTGCTATTAGACAAAACCAGTGTATTAGTACATACAATAATAATATTAAGTTGTGCATCCCTTCAGCATAATTTACTTGGTGTAATATTCATGGGACACAGATTTCTGGGATCTATTCTTTGCATACAGACAACAGTGTGAAGTGAACTTAACTGTACTGTACTTTCAGACATTTAAACTGCTACAAAATGTTACTGTAACTCTGAACTGGACTATCTGAAATCCACTTCAAAAGAGCACCAGTACAAACAAAAGTAAAACAGTGCTGTATTATAAGTTTTGATAACACAGTTCATGCCACATCAGAAGGAATGTAATCAATAATGATACCTTATTTTTCAAGCTTACACCCATTAATCTAACCCTTAACTTCAATGTGTTTCATCAGCGACTGCGCAGAACAAGCAACAAGAACAGCACTTGTCCACACTCCCTCTGATCTTTCCACCCATTCACAAACTTTCATCCAGCTGATACATTAATAACCACATTAAACTGTCATTCTTCCAAACATTTAACTAATTTTCACACCCTCTGACCGCAACAAATAGGCAATCATTGTTCTTTGGCACAATATATCAATGGAGTTGCCATGTTAAACACATGACAGCATTACCATTATTCAGAAGACAATGGAAACCAATCATGCATAAACAAATAAAATCCAACATTACTTTTCAAGGTAAATTAAAACTACTTTCTTCTTAACTTTCTCTCATGTTAGGTCAGTCATGACAACAAAATACAGCCTACTATAATTTGCATTGGGGAGGGACCGAAAACCATTAAACAACTGAACAGCAAGATTCTGGTCTGAAATTCAAACCACAATCTGGTAGACAGTCTCTCTCTCAATGGTGTAACATGAACAGAAAATCTCAACAGTATTGTTTCTCCACAGCAGCACAAGAACACCCGGAAGAGGAAAAGGTTTTTATAATGAACACTTTCTGATCCAAAACATACCACACCATCTTGCGAACTCGGTTCAGTGCTGCCAATGGCAACAAACAAATTTGCAAAGTGTGTTGAAGAACTGTGAAAGCTTCATGCTACTGTGTTCAACAGCAAAGAAATTATACAAATATGAAAGTGTAGAATAGATAGTGTGCCACAGAACCATAATCTTAAGCTGCATTCTGAAGAGATTTCTAGTACAATTTTTAGTTCAACCTACCCCTTTGACAGTCCAGTGTCCTTCTCAACTTTTGCATAGTATGCATTCAGTTTGGACTCCAAGTCTTCCAAATCTGGAAGGTTATCCAATCCCAGCAAGCTAGAATTAAACACAATACTACAATTAGGCAGGCCACATACATGTCATTTTAATAAAATTTAATACTAGGTTGGTCACCTAGGTTTGAAGTAAAGCCAAATGCATTGGTTATTCACACCTCTCACAGAAATAAACCTAATTTTGGCAGCGGTATTTCCTTAAAATTATATAAAAGATTCTGAAAGACACAAAACTGTGTTTGAATTCCACAGAATCCCCAATCATTATGTCACATTCCCATTACAAAGTGCACATTTTGAAAACTTCAATTAAGTTCTTTCAAAATCCTATTTTCAGAGTATAATTTTACACATTAGACTAGGGTAATTATAGCTGAATGCCATGTGGTAACACTGTATGGATATTTGTGCCTACATACACCACCATGCAATTCCTTCATAAACACATACAAAAATGGCCCCTCCTATAATACCCACAATTTTTGTGGAAAACATGATTACAGCGTAATGTTGCACGGAAACATGGTATGGGTATTTACATCAGCAAACTCCACTACATATCTGTTAATAAATAAATATATAAAAAAAAGCCCGTTGATATCTCACAGACATACAACACCCCTTCCCCCTTTTCTGTGAAAATATCACAGTGGTTGACACTTATCAAGCATACAAATAAGGTACTGAACTTTCCTTTCCAAAATTCATAGTCTAAAAGTAGCCGTGGGTAAGTCATTGAAGTAAACATGGTAAATCTGAGATGAGTCAGCAGTGAATGAAAATATGTAACTATTGTTAATTTGCTAGCCCTTTTAAAAGTAGAACTATGGTTGCTGGATTTGATGTTCTCACAGTGGCGACTGTGAAGAGTGCTATCTACTGGCACACAACACGTAGTCTCGCTAAGTTCACTGAACTTTCAGAGAACAATGCACACAACTTGCTTTTTGCCTGCTTGACTTACACCTCAAGCCTGCAGGTTGAGACAGTACATTCCTCTGAAAAATTAGTGGTTTTCAATGGACTATATGGCGCACAATCCCAGAAGGTAACTTCCAGCAAATAATAATCTCAGTAATGACTGATACAGTTTTTACAGGATTAATGAACACAGAGCAGCTGGCAGAATGGGAACTGGATGGGGAAACCAAAGTACTCAGACAAAACCTACCTCAGTACCATTTCGTTCACAAATCCGCAATGTAACCGTACGTCTCTAGCCAAAATTATTTAATTACAGGCATGACCAATTTAGGCACTGTTTCACACCCTGAGAGACGTTCCTCCGGTGAGACACCATCCCAGGACTGTCTAGTTATAATTCAACTATTGTCTTCCTTAGGCTTAGGCTGTCACTACTGTCCCTAACATTGCCAGTTTCCTCCTAGTGTCATAAATTCATGAATTGACATTGTGCAATACCAGCCAGGAGGGGTCTTGGGTTCCCTGCTTGTGTGCCTTGAAGACCTAAAAGTTTATGGGCATCTCGGAAAATACGAATGTAGGACAGATGCCAGGCTCGACCCTTGGCTTTCTCTTTTTATTTTCTTGTTTTTTTTATGCCCACTGGGAGACTTGTACAGAGAGAGCAGTTGTTTACAGGGAGTTGTGGTGGACAGTTGAAAAGGGGAGTTAGAGGAGGTAGCTAGCGAGTGGTGTGTATGGTCAGTGAGCTGGTGGGCAAATCGGTGTAAAAAGGTTAAGTGTGACGGGGCGGCTAGCTTGGAAGAATAATATTAAGAGTGATCACTGTATGAAATTTTAAATTAAGACTGCAATACACGGTGTGTTTTGGAGACTCTATATTCATGAGATAAAGAACTCATCTTGAGCAATAGTCATGGCAGCAGTACATCTGTGGGCAGCTACAGCGAACATTAGAATTCTTTCATGTAGCTCGTAAGTAATGGTTTCCTTACATATAGAACATTTATATTACTATTATAGTAGGTTTAGTGAGACATGAGCTATGGCCTTGAGATGTACAGGGGCTGAGACTCGAGTTAATGTCATGTGATGAGTTCCATTTGAATAAAACCAACTCATTTATAATTGCATCTCTCACTTTCATGCAACTCTGAGCAACCAGCCTACTAAACAACTTGTACACATCAGCAATTTCCAAGACCAGAGATAAAACCACCCAATCAATAATTTCTGATACTGTACTCAAAATAAACAATGAAAGTGACAGTGACTGACTACAAAGGCAAAAAGCTCTAATGGTATGAATTTTTTCAGAGTACACTTCAGTATGCATTAGTCTTTTTTACATTATATTTATCTTACTGCAGTTAAGACTTTGAAGGCGAAAGTAACAAGTAAAAAGACAACCTACTCCTATTTTTCAGCCTATTAATACATTTCACTTTTAATGCTGAAAAGACAAAAACCATTTCTTGTAACTTAATGACCACATGCACTTCCTCAGTTCTAGAAATGAGAGAGTTCTTTGGTAGTTTAAAATGGAACCACTGCATTAGCCCCTCATGCTGAGTGGGAATAAGTATAGGCAAAAACTTAAGTTAATGACGAGATAAACCTACCCCAGTGTCACCAACACTAACTCTATAAACTTCAACATTCAACTCTAATATAATAGTTTACCGAAGGTCCTTTTTATCTTCGCCTGATCCGTACAAGAATTCCTCTTCATCATCTATGCTCTTACGCTTCCTCAAATCGTCTTTAGCACTAAGTTCCTTCCTCAGTGCATCACGGAATTTCTTAGACTCCATTTGTTCCTCAAAGGCCTTCGTATCAAACTTCTCACTTCTCTTGTTACTTCTATGTTTCTTCTTTTTATCATGATCTTCACGATCACGGTCCCTCTTCTTCTTCTTACTCTTTTCCTTCTCACGAGATTTTTTATCCTTCTTCTTTTTCTTTTTTGATTTCTCCTCTAGTGCCTTCCTCTCCTTTTTCCTAGATGATGGGGCAGAAAATTATTTTATGTAGTATATGACAGAACTTCTAACAACTTTATCTGTAAACCATCAGACAAGATGGAAACACTCTGTGCAAAAGGCTGATAACATAGGCTTTATGTACACATAAATGGCAGAGTAGGATGTCTGATATAGTAACCAAAAGGTTTTTTTGTTTATAAATAAAGTAAAGCTATCCCTGTAACAGGCTGTGAAGGTTGTGAGGCGCTGAGGGTCCAACATTATCTAGACGATTGGCTCAGAGATGGAGGTAAGGTTGTCAGCCTTATGCGCCGGCCACACTTTACTCCCCAGGAAAATTATTTAATTAATTCCTGGCACTCACTTTTGTTAGAGGCTGAGTTGACCCCAGGGCCATAGTGTGGCTGGATGGATTAGGTCAACTGAAAAAAAATCCAATGACCTTATCGGGACTTGAAACTGAACCCGTGACCTTCTGCCTTGTAATAGAGTGCCTCAACAAACTATGCTACCGCATGCCCCCTTTTGTTTATAAATACTTTGGTAATATTAAAATAACTGTAAGTCACATGAATTTACCGGCTGCATGAGCTCTTACAAAAACAAACTTGAACATGATCTTCAATTTTCTCCAGTCTTTTAATATCTTATTTTCCTGAACAGCCTGCACCCCTATTTTTATTGGGAAAAAAAAAGGTTAAAAAAGATTTTCAACATTAACTAAACATTAATAAACACACTAAATGATAAACATTATTTCATATAAAAGAACACTTCTGTGTTATTTTATTCTCCATTATTATCACTGTCATCAGTGCAGTTCATTAGGTCGCCATCACTGTACCAAATTAGATTTTCTACCAATCCGGGTGAAATACATTCCTGTGCATCCTTTATCCACGTGCACAGCAGGTCAACAACCAGCAGCTTCATTTTCTAGAAACTTTGCCTTGCCTTTTGTCCATGAAAAGCTCTTTTGCTTCCGCTCCTTCATAGCAATAAATCTTACTTTTTTCTCCAATCCCTCATTAAGTTTTAGCTAACACCAAATTTACGGTCTGGAGGGCAGTTTTCATTTTCCTCACTCCCCTAATTACCATTAATTTTTCACTCACCATGAAATATCATAACTGTGTACCCTCAGCACTCATTTTTTCACTCAGAGTGACTTTCACTTGTGAACAAACTGAGATGAACCACACCCTAGCTAGGAACACATGCAGGTACAAATGATAATAGAAGCGGGTTACCACCCTCTGGGATCCATCAGAGTGCTAAACATGACAAATGAGTAGCGCTGTTAACTTTGATGTGAATAAGCCATGCACTCCACTTGTTGGCACAAATTATTCTGCAAAATGTGCGTGGCGTATTCGAGAAAATACAGTTATTTCCATTCTGTTCCGAATTCCAAGCAACATTTTCACTACTGTTCTTGCATGGGAGTTTTTTCAGGTAACAAAGCAGACTGATGGTTGAAAAGATTTGGAATATACTGTAATATAATCCAAAATTAAACTAGCCTCACATACTATCTATCACACATTGCTATAACTGTAATGGCACATGAGGGGGGTTGTAATGGGCAGTTATGACAGAGGCAGCTGGGAGAACTACCACATGACGGATGAACCTATGCTCATTAGGGGCAGTGATGCCAGAGGCAGCTGGGAGAACCACCAGACAGCAGATGAGCATATGCTCATAAGGGGCAGCAGTGCTAGAAGAGACTGGAAGAATTACCAAATGTCAGATGAACATATGCCCATTAGGGGCAGAGTGATGCCAGAGGCAGCTGGGAGAACTACCACATGACAGATGAACTTATGCTCATCAGGGGCAGTGGTGCTACAGCAGGCTGGGAGAAACTACCGCATGGTGGATGAACATATGCTCATCAGGGGCAGTGATGCCAGAGGCAGCTGGGAGAACCACCAGACAGCAGATGAACCTATGCTCATCAGGGGCAGTTATGACAGAGGCAACTGGGAGAACCACCAGACAGCAGATGAACCTATGCTCATCAGGGGCAGTTATGACAGAGGCAACTGGGAGAACCACCAGACAGCAGATGAACCTATGCTCATCAGGGGCAGTTATGACAGAGGCAACTGGGAGAACCACCAGACAGCAGATGAACCTATGCTCATCAGGGGCAGTTATGACAGAGGCAACTGGGAGAACCACCAGACAGCAGATGAACCTATGCTCATCAGGGGCAGTTATGACAGAGGCAACTGGGAGAACCACCAGACAGCAGATGAACCTATGCTCATCAGGGGCAGTTATGACAGAGGCAACTGGGAGAACCACCAGACAGCAGATGAACCTATGCTCATCAGGGGCAGTTATGACAGAGGCAACTGGGAGAACCACCAGACAGCAGATGAGCATATGCTCATAAGGGGCAGCGGTGCTAGAAGAGACTGGAAGAATTGCCAAATGTCAGATGAACCTATGCTCATCAGGGGCAGTTATGACAGAGGCAACTGGGAGAACCACCAGACAGCAGATGAACCTATGCTCATCAGGGGCAGTTATGCCACAGGCAGCTGGGAGAACCACCAGACAGCAGATGAGCATATGCTCATAAGGGGCAGCGGTGCTAGAAGAGGCTGGGAGCATTACCAAATGTCAGATGAACATATACCCACCCAGGGGCAGTGATTCTAGAGGCAGGTGGAAGAACTACAACATGGTGGATTAACATATGTCCATCAGGGGCAGTGATGCTAAAGGCAGATAAACATATACTCATCAGGGGCCATGGTGCTAGAGCAGGTTGTGAAAAATACCTAATGGCAGATGAACATACGATCACAATTTTTGTCTTGAAGTACTGTAACATAAATAGTAAAACTATCTACATAAACTTACTTTATTCACTACTTACCATCTGGCAGTCTCTTCCAAGAATTTCCGGACCTTCTCTTCATATTCTGAATCACCCTTTGTCTGCTCCAAGAATCTGCATACCCTCTGCTCATACTCCAAATCCTTATCATATACTTTGGGCACTGCATCAGGAGCTGTCTGAAAAGCTGCAGCACTTCCTACAATATTAACCGCTCAGTATGTTTTTTATCTGATTGAAGGCAGCTATAAAGCCAAAAACATTAGTTGCTTACCACTGTAAGAGGCCAAGAAGTGTGCCTCCTGAGTCCGGGGGAGGGTCGAAAAAATTGAGGAATAAGAAACTGGTACAGGAAAATTTAGAAGTACTGTATAATTTTTCATAAAAGGCCAATAAGACTCATAACAATAACAGATTAAAAAAATTATTGTAAAATTCCAAGAACTTTTGTCCCTAATATTCTCAATCTCCAAACACCTCTCCAATGTACTTTTACCACCCCACCTATCACCCTTGTCAATTCACCAGTGCTAGTCTCAGCCAGCTGTTGTCTGGATAACGTGTGTTATTCCAGTTATTCCATGTGAGTTTGTGCTACTTCATTTTTGTTCATTATTTCTATTTCATTTTACTCATTTTGTTATTCCTGAATATAGATTACTTTTATTTTCTAAGGCTTACAGGGCAAGAACAGATTCATAATTAAAAAATGTAAGTTAGACAATGACAATGGATCAAGTGTGGCTGGCACTAGTTCTGGTAGTATCACACATAGTAGTTTCATTTTGTTGCTAGTGGGGTGGGACTAAGTCCCTTGTACTGCGGCCACTTCTGACCTATTGTACCAGCCTCAGATGATAGGTGTGGGTGATTGTGGAACAATTGGTGGAATGAAGATTGGCAGGGGAAACCACAGTACTCGGAGAAAACCTGCCCCAGTGCCACTTTGTCCACCACAAATCCCACTTCACCAGACCCGAGCCGGCGCAATGGGAAGCCAACAACTAACCGCTTGAGCTATGGCACAGCCTAGAACTAACACTAACTGCTATATGTGGGCCGCACCATAGCTCANCCCCCCCCCCACTAGCAAATTTAATTTTAATTTAGTTTTAGTTCTAAAACTGTCGTGTGCCAATATGATTCAGGTTCATTTCATCTGGAGAAGTGCAGCCATGCCCTAAGTGTGTTGTTTCTAGTGAGACAGTGGCAGGCCAAGCTATGGTTCCAAGCAAGCTGAAAAGAAACTTTCACAAAAGCATTCATATTTACACAAGAAACAAACTGAATATTTTAAAAGGCTTCTAGCTGATCAAACACTCTAGGCTAAACAATGAACTACAATCACAACTATTTTTACAAGCTCAAGAAGAAAACTATGCCACTGCCGAAATTGTGGCAAAAGAGATGAAAACACATACTACTGCGAGCCAGTAATTTTACCAACATCCTGTAAAATTGCAAATATTATGTCTGGCGAGAAATATGAAAATCCCTGTCAGATAACACTGTCAGTCAGCATATACAAGACATGTCTCAATTTGTTGAGTCACACATGACAGCCAACATTAAAGCCAATTTTTTTGACATCAAGCTGGGCAAATCAACCGACATGACCGGACAAGTTCAACTCCTAGTGTTCAGGTTTGTTTGTAATGGAGATATCATTTAACAACTGTTGTTCTGCAACCCACCACCCAATCAACAAAATGCCAAGATATTCTTGATGTTATTGACAATTATTTCAGGGAAATCATGCATCAGCATCTGCATGGACAATTTTCCTTATATGTAAGGAAGCCTGAAAGGATTCATTGCACTGGTCAAGCAACAGAACCCTGGAATTGTTTCTACACACAGTTTCCTTCAGAGAGACCCCCCTCATTTCAAAATCAGTAGTATCCAAGGTCCAGAAAGTACTGGATGAGATATTCAAAATGGTTAGTATATCAAGAGTTGGCCAGTACAATCAAGGTTGCTTGCAGCACTGTATTCAGCCATGAAAACTGCTCACAAACAACTCCCACTGCACATAGAACTGAGGTGACTATATCAAGGGCGAGCTTTCAAAGTTCTATGAACTGAGGGAAGACTTATAATTTTCTTCATGTCTGAAGAGTCTGAGCTAACTGAGCTACTTAGTGATAAGCTCTGGTGCAATAAAGTTGCTTTCCTATCAGACATCACCCAAGCTTAATAAAAAAACTTAAAAACCTTTTTATTGAAACATTCTTTTTATACGATAAATGAATGTTAGTTTTAATAAAAAAGTGGATAGTGCAAGTATTTATGTTTGGATGTCATAGCCATTCATAAGCTGTATATAGTAGATTGTATATTTTTTGAAATGTTGCATTTATAGATTGCTTATGATTGTAACAAATGTTGGTAGTATGCTTGTAACTTTGTAGATTTGTTTTGTTAACCTGTATTGCCAAATGACTTGTCCAAGTGTTACTATGTAGCAAAATAGATGAAAATAAAATACGATGCAGGAAAAGAATGAAAACAGTCATACTTGTACTGACGAAATTAACCTGTTTAAGGAAAACCTAACACAGCAGGGAGCCAGAATGAAGAAAGAGAACAAAGCTGAACTGTTTGAGCTGACAAAAGTTGCAGTATGGACAAAAATCTTGTCAATTTAATTCCACGTTTGTCACTACTGGGTAAGAACACCGAAAATTATTTATCATCACTTAATATATCTTCCTTGGACTGGGTGTTAAGTGTGTTCAAGTCAGCAGAATTAACTGTTTTGGGGGGGGGGTAAAGCAAGAAAGAAGGGTGACAAATAAGAAATGATGGAACACTGAAACTAAAGCACTCATCAACAAATATGGACTCATTCTGGTTCTCTGAGACAGGAGTACCCTATGATCACAAAGATGAATGAAGCACTGTTTCCTTTCTCTACATCATATCGGTGTGAGGCCAATTTCTCTAGTACGAACACGACAAAGTGCAAGAACAGATAGCAGATGACTTCAGCTTATGCTTGTCAACCAGCTGACCTCAGACAAAGGACATCATGGGACACCATGCACTGGTTTTCCACTGATATTTTCATGCTTACATAAAGACATTATATTTCTACTAATGTTTATACTTAAAAAATGTTTGTTACCCTCTTTATATGTACTTATTGGAAAAAGAAAACATTATCATAGCATTAAAATTTTTCAACACACAGCAGACTATTTTATTCAAAATCAGATTTTTCATCTTTTCATTGAGAAAAAGAGGTGGGAGGGAGAAAGGGGATGAGACACTTTTTTTTTTTGAGTCCAATGGAATACATCACACAATCTTTTTAAATGACATCTCATTTCAAAATTTGGAACAATAAATATGAACATAAATTTTAAGAACAAATCTTTTGAAATCCACGAACACATACTTCTTACTACAGTATAAAGAATCCAATTAGTACCATTACTTACGTGCAAAAGCAAATGGGAGTGCTGGTGGATTGTAGTGCGACAGTCTTTGTGCTAACAAACCAGTAAGACCTGAAGCAAAGAAAATATACAAAAGTTACATTTTCTTGCACTGGATATCAATAAGACACTCATCTACTCACACATTATTGCCACAGTAACAAATCTTTACCACATGACTAGTAAGTATTAAAGCTGCACCAAACTTTTAAATTCATTTTCCCGACAGTACCAGTGACATTCACAATTTCTGTTCAAGATAGTGGTTATAGCAATTTTTTAATAATTAATCATGCTCACACTCTGTGCAGTGTGATATGATCCATGGAAATTAGTATCTGACTGATGTTGTCAAAGTAGTTATCACATGGCATGCTTTTCTACAGACTGTGTTCTGTGTTTCTTATATTAACTGAAAATAAATTACCCATTTCACAAATTTATTCTGCCATACATTGCACTATTAGTTCTCACATGAAGGTTGTGTTCTTAATGACTTCTGTGATTATGTAATGGCATCTATAATTTATGCTGTGTGCATTAAATATAGTTTATGTGGAGAATAAACGCCGTAAAGCACACTAAATAGAAAACTTCTTGAAACACTTGTGATAATATGAACTTGTAAGGTAGTAATTTACACACAAAAAAAACCTATCTACTGAGAACATTAAACTGTAGACTTACAGGACTGAATATCTTAATCAGGAAACACTGTATATGCAATGGTTCCTTATACTAAAAAACCATAATACATTTCATATTAAGTGGGATGCAGAGAACAGATGTTTGTCAGTCTTACTTCCGAAACATGTACCATAGTAGTATTTGGTTTATAAGTCATATGAAAGCCTTAAAGAATATCTGAACATCTAGTCACTTATCCACCAAACAGAAGAGCCAATCATCAATCAAACAAACAAAATGAGTGGACATTTTGTTCAAACTAGAATAACATTTCTGCAATCCTGTTATATGAACATTCAGACATAGCAAGTGTCACGTAACTTCGAACAAGGCCAAGAGTAACCTTGACTGCGCAGAAGAAAAATTTCAGACAAGGGGGTGGGTTCGAGAGTGTGAGAAGTGACAGGCGGCCAGTTGTTTGTAAGGTACCCTTGAAGCAGGTTATACTTACGGTTTTTCCATCACTGTTTAAAAATGTCCGTTTCCTTGTGCGCTAAATCATACATAATGAGTAAGAAATTAGGTTAGAGAGGCTAGCAGATAGTGGAGCTGCTGTAAACTTAAAGTCAATCCAGAAAACAGTATGTGAAGCTACAGGAATTGGCCATACTGCATTGAATGAAATTATTCAAATAGAAGAGAGCTTGGAACAGGGCGCTTCCTTTCACTTACCGACCAAGAAACGTATGAAGGAGAAACCTGTAACGGAATGTGATCAGTTTATAGAAGATACCATCAGAAAAATGATCTACTGCTTCAATAAAACAGAGGGCAAAAGAGTTACCATGCCCAAACTTCACAAACAAAAATGGTAAGAGGCCTAAAATTTGAAGGAAGTCTTCCTAGCTGCAGGAGAATTGTTCACTGGCTTAGTTTTCATTGGAGGATGAGGGATAATAGAAAAACATCAATTGAAAGGCATAACAACCGTTCTAAACGCCTGCATTATCTGAGGGCAATATCGCAGAGAAGGTCGGCCTATTGTGTATGTCGATGAAACGTACTTGCACAGTAGCCATACATCATCATACTCCTGGGATGACTCTCTAAACAAAACTCTCTCCTCTCCTGTTGCCAAAGGTCCATGAGCAATTATTGTACATGGTAGTGGTAAGCAAGGATTTGTGGAGAAAGTTTTGCTTATGTTTAAGTCAGGCAGAAAAACAGGAGACTACAAGCACGAGATGAATTCTGGAAACTTTGAGAAGTAGATCCAGGAAAAATTAATTCCAAACTTGCCTCCAAGAACGGTGATCGTAATTGACAATGCAAGTTACCACAATATTGAAGTAAACAGAGTGCCAACTTCAAATACCAAAGTAGGTGAAATGAAACAGTGGCTGGCAGAACGGAACATTTCGTGTCCGGCTTCGGCACTGAAACCAGACCTGTACGAAATAAAAAAACACTAGTCAGATAATAAAGAATATNGAAAAACAGGAGACTACAAGCACGAGATGAATTCTGGAAACTTTGAGAAGTAGATCCAGGAAAAATTAATTCCAAACTTGCCTCCAAGAACGGTGATCGTAATTGACAATGCAAGTTACCACAATATTGAAGTAAACAGAGTGCCAACTTCAAATACCAAAGTAGGTGAAATGAAACAGTGGCTGGCAGAACAGAACATTTCGTGTCCGGCTTCGGCACTGAAACCAGACCTGTATGAAATAAAAAAACACTAGTCAGATAATAAAGAATATAGACTATACACTATTTGTGTTGCTGCTGGGCACCCTGTGATATGTCTCCCACCTTATCATCCAGACCTTAACCCCACAGAGATGGTGTGGGGCACAGTTAAAAATTGGGTGGGCCAAAGGAATGTGATATTTAAGCTGGACAATGCAATGTGTCTAACAGAGGAGAAATTTAATTCCATTTCTGCCAAAGACTGGGCAGCATATTGCAATAAAGTGGAAAATCGAGAGGACCAGTACTTCGCAAGGGAAATGGATATTGACACCAGGACAGACAATATAATCATCTCTTCAGATAGTGAGGAAAGTGAGAAGTCAGATAAAGATGATGAGTAAATGAGAGATACGAGGTATGACCAGTTTTAATTTTCACGATACATCCTACATTTTTGATATGGACACACTAGTTAATTCTACATGTACTTCCATGATGAATGGCTAAATTCTTTTCTTCATTACATATAAAAAGTATAGCTATCCCCATACCAGGCCGTGAAGGCCCATAGGGTTGAGAGACGTTGAGGGCACTACATTGTCTAGACAATCAGCTCAAAGATGGCGGTAAGGTTGTCAGCCTACACGCCAGCCACGCTTTACTCCGCATGAAAATTATTTAATTAATTCCTGGTATTCATTTCTGTTAGAGGTTGAGTAAACCCCATGGCCTAGTGCAGCTGGAAGGATTAGGTCAACTGAAAAAATCTGATGACCTCATCGGGACTTGAACCCACGACCTTCCAGCTTGTAGCATAGCTCCTCAACGACTATGCTACTGTGTGCCCCCTTCATTACATATGACTATTATATTTTAATTTTCAAAGTATAAATGAGTAAGACACATTAAACGTACTTTTTTTTGCATAGGTGACAACATATTTGTATTATTGTAATATGTTCTTGGAAAAGAGAATAGGGTAGTTTCAATGAAACACAAGGGGTAGGTGAAAGTGGAAAGTGTGTTAAGAAACTCCTCCACCACAAGCAATGCACGGGATTTGACTAGGAATGCGGGGCTTTGTTCGAAGTTATGCGACACCGTCTATAACATAATTTCTGTATTCTTTACCATCTCCATCATGTGTTGGGTCCATGAGAGCCATTCTCTTGCTTAGCGGTGATAATGACTTCTCCCTCTTATCATCCTTCTTTCGAGAGCTGCAAAAAAAAAATAAAAAGACTACATATTAAACATCGGTCTTATATGACTGCTAAATTCAAATCCTGCAAAAATCCAAACTATCAAAGATTACATTTTATTTCCAACAGCAGATCTTACAGTTTGGACAAGTGAGC